TAATTCTAATAACTAATAAAGACACAGTTATCATCACTGCCAGCGGAATGCGTTCGTCTTAGTTATGAATTATTTGCTTCTGTACGTTTTGAAATTCAGATAGTGACATCATTATTAATTAACCCAGAATATGATTATTGTTTCTCTTGACTACTGGAATTAATTTATTAGGCTCCATGTTTCAGGTTAAACTTAAATGATATAACTCATCACCAGACACTCAGGAATGATCAGCCTCACGTGACTGAATGAAATGATGATACATGATGTAAAAAGCTCTCTCTGACTCTAATTGTATCCATAATAAAAGTTATTGAGGGAAATATCAGATCATGAAAAGACAAATCTTTCTAATACATAAAGAAAGTTGTTTGTGGTCCTTTTGTTGTTCAGACTACAATGAACATTTATTAAACCAGATGGTGAATCAGAAAACTAATCAAATATAAAGCTTGAGTTTAATCTGCGATCTGTCTTCACTGTTTACATGTTTAAAACAATCTTAACAGTCCGATCAGCTGCAGCGTCCAATCACATAACTGATGAACAATGAGGGGGCGTGTCGGCCGTTAAAACACTTCCTGGAAGGCTGTTCTCGTGCGTCCTCGCTCATGGCTCCTCGCTCCTCAGAGCAGAAATAAGAGCTTTGGGACGGCCGTCAATATGGCGGCGCAGAACAACTTCCGGTTCAAGCGAGGAACGAGGAAATGACAATTAAGAGACTTGGGATGTCTTCAAACGACGTCGCCATTGCTCTCGCTATGATTACCACGTCCACTTGAGGTCGCCGTCATCCTCTTGTATTCGTTGATTGAACGTGAATAGATGTTAAAAGCCTTCTGAACCTAGCAGTAGGTGTGGCCGGACTCTTCTAACCCATGTCTATGAGGCTGATAACACCCATTCAATCGGCCGGTAACATTCAAAGCCAGAGTCAAAGCATAAATTGTAATTGTCAATGGCAGGACTTGCACCAACCATAAATATGTATGTATGGACTCACACAAAAAGGATCTCTCTCAATCAGAACTTCTGACCCACCAAAAGTGCGTGGTGTTGTCTCTATTTACTCTTTTCTTTTCATTTTGCTGTGTTTCAGGGCACTCTCCCCCGGGGCTCTGAATGTTGTGTTTCCAAACCGCAACGGACAAATCGCACCCTTTATGCCTTTAATATCAGCCAACATGTCGGGCTGATTCATCAGTCAGGCTTCATCAAGTGCTCAAAAGTTATTGGTGAGTTGTTAAATTCATATTAGAAAGAAATTGGAAATATCCTAATGAAGAGTGAAGCATTTTTAGGAATGGTGCATCTCTGGTAGCCAGGCCATACCATACTATACTACCAAATATACTGTAGGATGACTGCCTAAAATAAAAGGATATGTTTTTGCACCTGTTGTAATATTTAAAAGTAAAACTAATTATTAGTGGATTAGTAAATCAATAATGATTCATTATTAATGATAATTGGCAGATGGAAGATCATTTCATATCAATGTAAATGGGTTTTCTCACCAAATCCAAATGTAGTCACACTGACATTGAGGGAGCATGACTCTTTAGGTTGCTTGTTCTGACATGCTCAATAAAGGGAAGGACCACCACTTTCAAGCAGTACAAGTCTAGAGAAGACACATTTGTCATCATTAATTCCTGACAGTGGAAAAACATTACAGAACCCTCTTTGTTTTGTACTCGCTCTGCATATCGCTAACAAAAAAATCTATGATCCACATAGCTTTGTGTAGCTTTCTCACTCCAGCAGGCCAATATTTGCAGGTGTTCAGACGTCAGAGATAACATTGAACACACATGGCCTTGGATGAATAGTAGGCTTTTGTCTGTGATGATGGGCTCAGACAAGTTCTCTAAAAATGCCTTTAACACAATTAAGTCAACCATCTCATGGGGAATGCATTACAGTGTGAATGTAGCAAAGAAAATAAATTGAGTATGTTTCCATTCAGCTGTTTTCATGCGCTTGTTAAATTTGCACGTGAAAAAATGTGAGTTTGAAGTTAAAGTATCGCTAAAACGTTCACATGTTTGTTAATGAAAGCAAAATGCAACAAGGTGCAATGGAAAGAGACCCAGCCAACAATTCATGATGTAGATGAAGTATATGACTTCAGTGTCACTGGTGGCAGATGGAAACGTTATCATTCCAAAAATGCAAACATGAAATAAACATTTTTTCCATCATGCTATTGAGATGATTTTTCATCGTGTGAGGTTTTACTGGAGCGCTGCTTTCATCTGGAATGGTTCAAAGGCACCGACTGGAGAATTAGCACCGCCAACTGTTTCAGTCGAGGAACCCTTTCTTTTGTAGATTATGGACAAAATGTGCAAAACATTTGTATTGAAACTTGACTATACACAAAGAGTTGAGTAAACAACATCCATTATAGCTGCTCTGGAGGTTTTGAGAACATGACATGATCCTCAACAGAAGAAGTCATTGTCATGAAATTGAATAAATGCCGTTGCTTACACTTTTACCAAAGATATAGTCCTTTTGAAAAGTGTTGACAGTGTCTGTTTCGGTTGATTTTCCAGATACACTGGATAGAGATGTTGCTGTTTTCATAAAATGTCATTGGAAATGTGGGTGAACTAACCCTTTAAGGTTTTGGCAACATTTACTAATTGTGGCACTTTCACTGTTTTAAATAAATTATTTGCTGAACATGATGTCAAATGTTCTAATGTCTTTTTACACCATAAGGGCATTACAAAAATGTAACACGGACCCCAGCGCACGATGAAAGTGTAACTTTGGCTTAAGGGATTTCTTTGACAGAAACAATAAAAAAGAAGGAACAGCGTAAAGTGAGTCATTTTTGGTCACAGATTAAGAGTAGGTTACCTTTTTACGATAAGGATCCAGTTTGGTGATTTGTCTTTAAAATCTAAGAGCACGACTAGACTTTCAGACAGCGATACTTCTGCAGATCTATTAAGCAGGATAAGACTGTGCAGTTTAAGCTAATGGAAAGCGAGGCATAGCCACAGAGAAATACATGGATGGAAGCCAGATTCATGTGTAATCCAAACTCACAGAGAGAGTGGAGCAGAATTGGAGACGGCAAGTGTTGAGCCACTTCTGGACTTACTAAAATAAATACTAAAACTGCTGAAAGACATGATCGGGAGAGATTCATTCAAGCTCCTTCAAAGAACTGGAATTTCTGGAAGATTAAAGAACAAAACAGGACAGTTTGGAGGACTGTTTGGACAGCCTTATCGTGCATGCATGTGCAAACAAGCTCGCGAGCATGTCCAAACCTCCATGGCAGCTGCAGGGAGAATAGAAATAATAGAAAATATGTGAATAGATTTCCTTCCTCATGCAACATTTGTAGAGCACATGTTTTGAAGACTTTAAATCCTGCATTGTCTACACATTTGATGGCGTGCAGTTCTTCTTCCCTGCCTTTGTTGGCGCAATGCTTGGCTTTTTTTTTTTTTGCACGTTAGCGCTGCCAACTGTCAATCAGTGGAATAATGTGAAACCAGCCGCAGGAAGAGTCATCGCATGGCCAATGTGTGCGTGCCATCCACTTGCACGTTCGCGATACAAACAGAATGGTAATCCATTGATGAAAACGTTTCTCCATATTCCTACCAGTGGTCAAAAACTATACTCAAGGTAACTTTAACAAGATAAGGGTTTGGGATTACATAGGGTCGCTCTTATTTTGAAAAGAAAATGATTTGCCCTTTTGTGAGGTAGGTTGTGTAGGGAACCCTTCCCAGCATGCACTGGGGCAACAGACTCATGGATATATGCCCTATTTTATTTGTTGGGTTTCACATTGTGCTCCACAATGTTTTGATGTCGTGTCTATAATAAGTCAAGTTTTTCCTAATCGTCATTGAGTTGATTTGAAGGTAAGTGTTACAAATACATCTGACCTCTGCCAGGGTTCTTCATCATTGGAATCTTTTGCGATACAAAATGTCCGACCTTACAAATATGTCAATAAAACAGGATACCTTTTCTTATAGAGTACATTTAACTGTATGGACAATTCCCAGTGAAGTTATCATTGTATATGCGGTCTCGCAAGAACATTTCATAAATAGGCTTTTCACACTGCATATTTTAAGCTATCCTTAGCCCTGGGCTAACTTAGCCCCTTTACCCACACACATTGCTAACCCAGGGTTAACCTAAGTCCAGGGCTATACCATTCACACTGCACTTCTAATAGTCGTGGGTTAAATGTCCGTCAACACGTGGCTACTTTTACCTTCCAGCATATCAAACAATTCCTTTGCTACTTTAGCCCTGTTTCACACTGTCACTTTTTAGCCTCGTGTTTAGGCTATTTTCAAGGGATCACCCCACAAACTCAGTGCTTACCCACTTCAGAATGTGTCAGGATTGTGCCAGTGTGAAAGTTGTCTCAGCCCGGGGCCAACAGCTCCCTTTAGCCTGGGGCTAAAGCGCAGTGTGAAAAGCCTACAATTGTAGCATTCAAACGAATAATGTCAATTGCCATGTGTTCTGTTTCCATTGATAACAAAACATATATTGTTGAGTTTGGTTAAAGGAGTTGCTGTCGTGTGCAGTTCACTCTAAAAAGCCTTGGTCCATGACTCAACTAATTAAGACCGAGCTGAAGTTTTTAAATATTTGGGTTAAGGGACAAAAACAGAAGATAGATTTTGAGCTGGCTTTAAAAAACTGAAAAGTCCAGAAATCCTCAACAATGAAATCAGTCTTACTCTAGGGATAGCATGTTTTCTTAATAATGGCTTAGAACAGATGTATAAGTAAGTCATTGGTCACATTGTGTCTTTAGAAAATGGTGGCATCAGACCAGACATCCTCACTAACTCCTCGTATTCAAAATTTATTACAAAAAAAAAAGATGTACTCACATGGATGTCTGATCTCAACAATATTAACCGAAAGAAATAGCTGATAACGAGAACACAACATCAGGTATGAAAATGAGTTAGAACACTGCAAAGGACACCCAAACCTTCTATAGAGATTGTATTATATTTCCAAAAATATATGTACAGTCTATTACAAAGGTTACAAATCAAAGAGAATTGTCTATGTAACAAGAAATTGTCTAATTAAATGATCGTACAGTTCTGCTGTTGGGGAAAATATTTTGACCAGTGGATATTCTCAATACTTTCATCACAGAAAAATAAATAATAAATTGACAATTTGTATTACTGTACAACAAACTAAAAACGCAAAAATCAGAAACAAAGTCAAAGTAAAGATGGAAATCCTATCAGCTGTCTTTGGTCCTAAATGAAAAAAAAAAAAAAATATGTACAACTGAAATCTTGGTGGTTGACAATAATTCATCTGCGAGATAGAAAAATATAGTGCATTTTCAATGTATTCAGAGCTCTCTACTGAGTAATATGTGTAAAAAACAATATAAATAAAATGTACAAGTTTTACAATTAGTACATATACAAAGATCCCCTCAAATCTCGTCTCTCTCCGACACAATCAACAGCGCTGCACTCTTTGGAATTATCCACCGCCTCGACCAAAGCGGCGAAACTAACTTCCAACTGCTGAACCACAAGATTTGAAAAATAACTTCATACTCTATCTGCTATTCCTGATTCCAACCAACCACCTCTACATCCTGTAGGTATTTATTTTTTGTCATTTTTTTACATTTTGTATTCTTTTTTTGTGTTTTTTTTCTTTTGCTGAAATAGAGCCACAACAAAACTTTTCTCGTCCAGAGTTGAGCGACCTGAAGTTTAAAAATGCGGATGAAACGAGCTGAAACAGACAATAAAGTGACTTCTGGCGGTGAAGGTTACAGGTGAGTGGGACGTCGAATCGATTGCATCCCAGCCTTAATCTCAATTTGGCTTAAGTTTCCCCAGCACAGGAAAAACAAAATGAGGACAGAGGCATTCTACCCTGGGGTGTAAAAGGGCCTCCAGAGGCCCGGTTTTAAAATCAGAGCGGAGTGTGTGTGTGTGTGTGTGGATGGGGGTGTGTGTGTGAGAGAGAGTGCCGCCTGCGAACCGGGGAGTTTTGTGCTGACTGAATGACTTCATGCCGGTATTCAATTCAAAGGTCTGGCCAAGGCCCAATTGCTGAGCTCTGCTGTATGGATAAAGGGAGGGTGTGTTTGACACAGAGGAGGGGGGGGCTCAGAGCCGGTCAGGGCTAATTCCTGGTGTCTCCTGACAAAGGTGAGTGGAAATGGATCTAACTATACATCCACACTAAGTTGGATCATTCTGAAAGAAAAAAAGTTTACATGCGAAGAAATCCACACTAGCTTTTTCAGGGAAATGTACGTTCACTTCTTAAAGGCAGGGAAAGTGAAGGTGGTAAAAGGTTTCATAGTCATCAAAAAATGCTTCAGAAGGGAGAAAAAGCAATTGGCAGAGGCTGCATTCTGGTGACTAAAAGAGATTAAGATGTCTGTCCTCACCAAGCAGCAGCACAACAGGAAAACAGGACATTTTGTCTCCTTTGGGGGTCAGTGAAACTACAATCACAGCCAGCATATCTGGTTCAACAGTGGCACAGGCAGGGCCCGGTTAAACCTCCTGGTTTCTGTCATCATTGAGTGTTTTCATACAGCCAAACTCAACAGTTGGTAGTCATCATTAACTTTTTTTTTCTTTTCTCTGTTGTCGGACAATAGAACAAGTACGGTTATTGAATTGCAGCTCATTCTGTAGTCCTTTACGCGAGCTAATTGGATATCTGCTTGGATTTCGGAAAGTTAGCTGGACAAAACACGGCATTTGAAGATAAGTGTCCGGGTTAAAGTAGGGTCGACTGGGCGTTGAGAAAATGTGATGATCAGTTTTCCACTGTTTTATAAATCAATGGATTAACTGTGAAAATAATTGGCATCATGGGCACCTGATGATAAAATTCTCCTTAGGTGCATCCTAAAACCATTTTTGTTTTACGATCGCAAACATTTTGATGCCGGTAACTCTTTTAATTCAATGTTTAAAGCTTGCTAACTTGTCTGGATGCGCTAGCATATTTCTGTTGACGTTGGCTGTAAGAGGGTCTACATGCCATTGGCATCCAGCCCAAGAAGTATGACAGTATGTGCTGACAAATGTACGTGAACATACAGTCTTTGCCGTCGTGCATGTCTGGTGTCCACATCCGTTTTAAGATTCGAGTAACCTCTTTACAGGAGACAAACCTTACTCAACAGTGTCTATAGGCAGGCTCACATCAATCTTTCACGTGTTTTCAAAGGTACCTGGCTTAATGTGTGGATGCAGTTTTAGAGATGACCGGGAGAATGAAGAAAGCTAGTAATGGTTTTACTCTTCCATCAGTGAGGGATAATGCTTTTTCTATGCATTCGAGATGAAAGAAATGAGTGGATCCACAGATGTATCTCAGGTTACAGCAGCAGTAGAAGACATGGTTGTAATGGTTTTTCTCCATCAACACCACTCCTGTTTATGTGACAGCTGAATAAATGCATTTCCTCATGAAAGAATACTGCACTGAGAAAACACTCAACATGGGAACGTTTTTTTTTTTTTTCTTTCGCATTTGAAGTGGAGACAGATGGCACAGAATAGGTTGATTGGCTTTCAGCACATCTTCTACAAAGACTCCCCCCCCCCGGTTCTCCGTAAAAAAAGACGTATGGGAGAAAAGAGGAGCAATCTTAAGAGACACTTTAATGCATGTTCCGTCACATCTACTACGCCTGTGAGGGGTGAGCGGCAGAGACGCAGGAATAAATAAGGGAGCCACCATAGCGTGTCTGCAGAGCTGGGGCAATGGGGGGGGGGGGTTAACGGCTCTATCCGCGTCCGACTGGAGCTCCGTCGTTTGGTCCTGATTTCCAGACCGGGAACCTTGAAGTGGCTCTTTTGATTTCTGGACAACGGCGTAGGTGTCGGAAGATGATGTCAGCATGGCTAAGTGGCACCTTTCTAGAGTTTCGAACGGGGGCCTCTTTCATCTCTCCAGCCACCCAATTGAACATTTCCATGCCGCGTTTGATTTCCAACAAAACGTTTTAGCGTATCGTAGCGGCCAAATACGACATGATTATTTCTTTTGATGACTTGGCACGGCCGATTTCTCGAGCACTTCTTTTTCAAACCGTTTTCAGGTCGAAGAGGTACATTCCTTTAGTTTCCGACGGTGACTGAATCTTTTCCAAAGGGTTTGTCTCAGCACAGCACACACATGCGATAAAACCTAGCACCTATAAAAAAAACATAAAAATTTCAGGCGAGGACCATTTCTACCTGGTAATTATTGCTCTGTTTAGTCCGTCTCTTCACTGACCGTGTCGCTCGTGGCATTAAACCGTGTCCGTGCGCTCGATTTCACCAGTTCAAGTTCCAGATAAAAAGACATCAACACTACAAGAAAATAATAAAAATAGGGAGCTTGTCCACCCTTTAAATGAATGCAGAAAGCATTGCCAGTGAAGTGCCTAAAATAGCGGCAATACTTAATCTAACGCATTTTTTTAAGGCAGTATTACGTCTACAACGTTCTTGGATCCACCCTTTTAAAAAATGTACTTGCACCCAAACGAACACTGTGTGCAACATGATGGCAAAACAATTTGTGGTGGCTTCAATTTCGATCAAATCTGTCAACAGTGCTGCAAGAGCCTATACTCAATAACCATGTAACCGTTCTGCGTTTCCCGTAGTGAACACTAAGACAAAGGATATTGCTACTCTGATATAAAAGTCTTTTGATTTAGAAGAACAATTCGCGTCCTCAGTGTTGCACTCTTCAGGAAATTCCTTAATAAAAAAAAAAACTGGTTGAAACCATGTCGAAACCCCCCACGAGCACGAGAGGTTACTGTTTTCACTTCAACAGCACATGAATGGAAACACGAGTCACTGCAAACAGTCCAGCATGTGTCAGCAGCACAAAAAAGTACCTTTTGAATCTGCGCCTAAAAAGTTCCCTCTGCGTTTGGATAAAAGAGAGTTTACCCTGTTGTCAAGTCCAAATAGAAGAGAGAGAGAAAAAAAGAAAAACTGCTGCGTGGGCAACATGTCACTGTGGCAGACAGATGCAAAATAAACAAATTAGAAAGAGAAATAAGTAAAAGCACCGCAAGTAGACACATTGTTTTTTTTGTTCTTTTTAAAGGTAATCCATAGCCATGGTGTGCACTTAAGTCATTTATTAAATTAAAGAAACGGAAGCGTCAAACTCCTTTCCATTTGATATATGGTTGAGTTCATAAACGCTTCTAAAAAAAAATAAAAAAGTGAATAGAAAGTCATCTCGTCCAGGTAGTTTCTTTTTTTTTTGTTGCAGTTTTTTCCCCCACCGCCCTTTTCCTTTCTTTAGCGCCCTTTTTGAAGAGGCGGACCGCAATCCTTCACTGAGGAACAAAGGAATGATTTCACTCCAGACACAGCCGGAAGAGTCAGACGTAACAGATGTCCGTTTACTTTGACGATTATCCCGCTTTTACGTCCCAGGCACTGCTCCAGATCACAAGTTCTGTTTTTTTTAGTTGTTGTTTTTTTTTTGTTTCTCGCCCCGTCCGTGGTTCGTCACACCTGGACACCCGTGCCGTGGAGGTGCAGCATCTGGGCTCTCATAGTCTGTATGCTGCTCATGATCTTTTTCTGATGGCCCACCAGCGTGATCCCCAAGCTCATCACGTCCCTGGGAAGACAAGACAACACATCAATCAATGCACTGGACCACAGTCAGGGGCCAAACAAGTGCCATTTACAGCCTCAGCTTTGTCATTATTGTGAGTAAAAGGTACATAAAAAAAACATAAAGGCAGCTAAAACGCAGCAGGCTTGTTTATGTATCTCAATGCTACATTTTTAACATCGATATCAAGGATGATGTTGAAAAAGAAAAACAAAAGAATGATGTGAAGTTTTGTTTTATCTTGGGAAGTATGTTCGGAAGTTCATTAGAACCCTTGAGCATTTTATGGGAATGCGGAGACGAATGTTGACATCTGATGGTCAATGGGAGTTCTGAGTAACAACTCAAGGGCAAGCCACAGTCTGGGCTGACGCTCATATTCAGCCGCTGTCAACTAGTAAGAATGCAATAAAAGAAAAAAGAAAAAGCAAAGAGTTCACACGAGTTCATGAGGATGAGGACACACAACATGGGAATGCTTGACGAGGTACTGCGAAACACTTATGATTTACATCTCTCTTTTTTTTTTACATTTTCTCCAACATAACATAACTTTCGGATTGAACCCTTTGACGCGTATGATCATACCAGCCTGATCATTTTGGAAAACTCATTTGAATTTAGGGGGAACACAGCTCGCATATGGCATTTGAGAGGGCCTTAATTGTGAAATTCCACGTAAGAATGTCCTGATATTGTCTGAGGAGGCTCTTATTTTGAAGTGAAATTGGTCTGTGTAAACCGGAAGTTTCTCAATGACACTCAATGTATTGTTGACGAATTATTCTCACAATTGGAATTAAATTTTTCTCTGAAATGGTTGTCAGGCAGTAGTTATTTTTCAATTATCAATGATGTTATTCATTATGTAATACTTATTAATTACTTTGTGTACTTTTCATTTATTTACTACTGACAGACCGACTGATTTATTGAATGAATTTGAAGTTGCATGTAAAATCACGTTCACCGAATTGTCGCTGTTATTTTGAAGTCAACGTGTAAAGATTTATAGTACACTGTGTTACGGCAATCTTTACAGCAGAAACACTGTTCTCACTAATCAATTCCAAGAACTTCTAATTAGCTGTTTTCCATCCGTTTTAAATTAAGCCACAATAAACACAACTCAATTGTTTGTGTGGATTTTTGCCTTAAAAGCCAACCAGCATAGGGAGGAACTACGCCCTTTGAGCCCCTAGAAGGCTTTTAATGTGAAACATCTGTGCACGTGTTTCATTGAGGGTAACAATGAAAAAGAAACGCAAACTAGAAAAGATTGAAAATAAAGACAAACTCAATAGAGCAGTGTGTATAAGATGCCTCTGTTGTTGAAGTGATGGATTTAGTGTTGTGGAAATGTACATTACATTGAATTTGACAAGACAGATGAACATGGAGGTGTTGAGTTTGCATTGTTCATTTATTGGCTGTCAGAGAGGCGTCTTCCTAAAAATTGTATAGTATATACAGTGTTAAATCATGGAAGAAATAAAGGTCTGGTTATCTCTCAAGTTTGGGTGAATAAAGGCCCAGGCCAGTAATTGAAGATGTATGATAACGTACAGAAACTCATGAACCTCATGGGGTGGCAGTATGACAAAACTCTGCTTGGAGGCAAAATGCAACAAAGTAGATTTGTTTCCTCATGTTGGGATGGAAAGAAGGGAAGTGTAGGTGAGATCACAGTCTTGAGTGTGGCTGGTATTAATGTTCTCTGCTGCTGCTTAAACCGCGTGAGGGGCTTCACATCTACTTACTCGATTGACATCCTGGCCACAGATTCCAGGGAACTGTAGCCAGCCGCTGTGAAGTTGTCTCGGTATCGCTCCATCTTGATGGCTTCCAGCCACTCTCCCACTGAGCGGAAAGCGGTGAAGTCTGGCGTGCTCTGATCCAACAGTGGACTAATTGGTCTGCGGGATGAGCACAGAATGATGTTTATGTCTCGCGTGAAAAAGGAAACGTTCCGCTGAAAACACAATCAAGCAGGAGACGAGACAAAGTGACGACCAAAAGGCATCCAGCGGTGCAGCAAATTGCGAGAGGGGGGGAGGAAAAACTGATTGGAGGCTTCAATCAATAAGAAATTCACAAAGACATGCAGCGTGTCAGCTCGCTTCAGAAAAATATTTCTGTCAATATCTTTTCAATCTGATTACATTCCCGACATACGGTCTCCATATAATGAAGCGCTTTTTAACCAGCTGTAACCTCTCGATCTCAGCTCGGGGAAAGTATGTTCTGACTGCAAATAGAATTCATCTGACAAACGTCAGCGTGAGGTCTGGAGTTCCCACTGCACTTTAAAAGTACCAAGAACTCATTACAGAGATTGATTTAAAAGCCCTGCTATTGACCATAAAGCCATGGAAGCTGCTTTGTGGTATCGATCCCCCCGGGATTTATCTTTCATCTGTGAACTACAGAGGCTAAATCATCTGTTGGACACTTTCGATCATCCACTAATGCACTAACGTAAAAGTTCAAATTCCTTATTGTATGAAGCCACATTTAAAAATGATTCATTTGGGGGGGGGGTTCCTTACCTTATACATGTTCCCACTGGGGTTTTCAATGTGTTAGGGTTGCGAATCATCTTGTCAAGGATGCCAACTATCTGATCGAATTTGGGACGTTCGGCTCTGTCTTTCTGCCAGCAGTCCAGCATTAGCTGATGCAGGCCTGGTGGACAGTCCATTGGGGCTGGAAGACGGTAGCCTTCCTCTATTGCCTTTATGACCTGGGAAATGCAAAACAGAGGGAGTCATTAATACCAGCACTTAGTATCATTCTACACCTAACCCCAAACACTTTGGTATCAGCTTATACTATCACCCTAACCCCCAACCCTTTGGTATCAGCCTTCAGTACCACCTTCATTAAACCCTTTATAATTAGCCTTTAGTAGCACCAGAAGCGTATAAACGAGCAGTCAGATATTCAGTTTTAAACAACAAAGGTGTGGTGGGCGAGGGTTGGCAAAGCTATATGATACTGACAGGCCCCTCTGATGGAGTATATTGGCAGTTTAGCTTAATTTTTGTATTCATTTTTACGTTCATGGAAATGGCTAACTTGGCTGTTGGCTTGTGTTTTTGTCTATTGCGCTCTGTTGTAAACCTTTGTCAAACTACTCGCCAAGCCCCTACATCTCATTAGAGAAGTTGATGAGATGAATGTTATAATGAGTCATAGCTTATAATGGCCAAAACAAAGGATGTGAGATCCAGCATGATATAAATAAATGGACTTTCATTTGATGGTCATGTTAAAAAAAGGTTGTGAGATCTATTCAGACCGTGCACATTCCCAAAATCAGCCATTTCTTCTCATTTACTGATCCTGAAAAGACAATGTATGCTTTTAGTTTGCCTTTGCTTGAGTATTGAAGCTCTCCTCTCGCTGGGCCCAGTTAAAAAAACAATTCAGTTAGAGCAAAACCCTGCAGTTAAGCTTTTACGCAGCTCTTTAGGAGATATGATTCTATTACACCCGTCTTTATTGGCTGATATTTTACTTATAACCGTTAAGGTTCCACAATGTCAAAGTTACATTTTAAGTATTAAGTTCCTTATATGCCATGTGAGTAAACAGGAGACTATATTTATACAGCTCTGTGAATAATAGAAACAATCTTTTCACAGTGCCTTTTAAACCTAATCTATTGTCACTCTGCATCATGCATGCAGTTTAGCTCTGAGTTCATTAAAAGTCAATGACTGGAGAGCAGTAGGTGCAGCGGGCACTTTGATTTGATTGGCTCCCCTTTATTTATTGTGTGGATAAGCAGCGGTGTACATTTTTGCATATTATCATCAGCTATTTCAGTCAGGACCGCTCAGACGAGAATGACACACGGTGGGAAAAAGGTGTCAAAACACCGAAACTGTTGAGAAAAATGCAAATAACGTTCTTCCCGCAGCACCCAGAGGATGTTTGCTGACATCTTGACGAAGTGTGAAAAATTTCTGACATTGATGTCTGGCAAGCAGCACCACATACGGCTCTTTAATGCCCCGGCCATCTTGTTTAGCATTTCTAACATCTGATTGTTCAAATCAGCAAGCCTCTGCTTTGGAGCGCCGGAGAATCTTAATAATGTTTGGGCCTGACGCTGTGGGTGCTAAACACCATGCACCGTATAGAAATCTTGAGGCCCGCACAAACTCGCCATCCGCCATCAATCAAAATGTGCCAAATGTCCGACGATAAGGGACAGCTTCGAGTGGTCCGCCGCAGTTGGACTCCCTTAGTGGGAGTTGGCAGGAAGGCTGGCGACAGCACTCAGGGAACTGTCGGTGAGTTAATCATTATAGCAATTTGTGACATTTGTAAAAAAAAAGAATTGTGGGACTGTGTTCTCTGAGGAAGAAAAGTCTGGGCAATGTCAGGAGTCAGCTCTTGCTATTTAGTTGATGCGAAGGCACTTTAAAGATACAGTTTCTGATTCAATTAAAGCACATAAAAGAACCCCCGACATCAGATGTTTCACAACATCAGCAGTCAGGTGGGAGAAGATTCTGGGACTTTGAAACTGTGTGTATTAATAGTTTAATTTGATATTTGGTATCTTAATTTGATTGAGTTGTGCTTGACTGAGGTTTGACTTCATTAAAATACTTATTGCTTTTGTAAATATCCAACATAAATCTAGTTATGTTTTATGTACAACAAGAGGGATGTCAATTAATTCCTTCCCTTGCAGTAAGTGACTGTACTGAGGTCTTTACACGTTTCATTGACGGGTGTCAAAACACCTATAAAAGGGATAATTAAAGAAGTACTCTATAAACTTGTGTACTGCACTCCATACAGTTGGGGGGGGGGGGGGGTTGCAAAAGACGGATTGAAGAAAAAAAAAGTCAAAGCAGCAGATTTCCTGACATTTACAAACAAGCGTGGGTCCAGCTCGGAAAACATTGGATCCTACACTTCCCGTAATGCAACACATCAACGTATTGTGTTAAACCCTCCCTGACTGGTAAAGGACCAAGAGCACCTGTGACATATTAAAGAGGTGTGACAATGGCCAGCTGATGCAGCTGCGCGGAAACTTTTTTCACACGTCGACGTGTAAATTCAGAGCGTATCTATGTCTTTACATCCTTGTATCCAAAACCCACAACAAAGCAACAAATAAAATGCAAACGCCTAAATATGCTCGAGTTGCCGCCTGTTTAATTGGTTCACCACTGCTACTCACACTGGTTTGACATTAGCATAAGTAATTATAAACTTTTAAGGGCATTTGAATCAAAAGCCTTCTGCATGACAAGTTCTTTCCACTCCTCTTGTTTATATTGAAACCAGCATCAAATCCACGTTCTCAGGATTTCTATGCGAGTCCCACTCCGGGTCTGTTTCTCCTTCAGATGGATTCAGACTGCGTGATCGTAGCAAGACTTCTTGAACTAATTAAGGCACAAGGTTACCGTCCCGGCCGGCTTGTTTTTCGTGAGGGTCCCGCAAGAAAACGTCTCGAAGCAGAACTACAAAGTGGGAGTTTTGTTCGGGATATTTATGTTTTAGTGGAATGACTTTGTGAGGATTAATTATGGGATGAATCTCGGGGAAAATCCCTGCCCCGTTTCAGATGATAGTTGGCAAAAAAAAGTTGTTTTCCCAGACCGTACTGACGCTCTCTTTTTATGAGCTTGTTATTTGTCAGCAACACATGATTTATGCTTTAGAAACTCAAAGAAATGATAGAAAATAGCAAAAAATGCTCAAATTTTCTTCAAATCACTCTTTAAAATCAGCACATATCCGTCTCTTTTTTTATGGTCTTTGGTTATGAGGTAGTCCATCAGCAGAATGTCAAAGTAACTCAATGGCTTCATACCAGGTAGTAACTTACATCTTGATTGGACATATCCCAGTAGGGCCGTTCCCCATAGGACATGACCTCCCACATGACAATGCCATAACTCCACACGTCACTTGCAGAGGTGAATTTACGATACTGTATGGCTTCTGGCGCGGTCCATCGGACGGGTATTTTGCCGCCCTGTTCAGTAAAATGCAGGTCAGTGGCTGGAGTAAAGATCAAATGCATTATATCCTGCATCTTCCCCTAAAAACATCAATTAGAGAGAGTTTCACAGTTACACACAGGGTCAAAACACAAAGAAATAACAACTTTCCCACAAACTTGAGCAAAAATACTGCCACCACTTTCTAATAAGGCATGCATTTGTATGATGGGATCTGTGGCTTTAGTACTGGTTAGTAAATCATTTATTAATGTGTAATAGATGAATCATTAATAAGAACAACAAGGTTGCGTAGCATCCCATTGGTGATTGTTGCTGCAGGGCATCTACACTTAAGTTTAGTTATTAACAGCGTATTTACTATTACAACTGCAGACATGACTTATGAATGCAGACTTAACGGATCATTGTGAAGTGAGAATCTCATGCCCCTTTTTATGTATTGCTTTTTCACATTCATCTTCATTAGAAGTGCATTGACATGTTGACCTGACATGTACATTTGAGTGAAAAATGCCTTCCCTGCCTCAGGAGACAGTTCTGCTTTTTTTTTTTTTTTTGCCAGCAGTATAAAAAACACAAAATGACTTGATTTACAAGCCCGGAAAAATGGCTTACAAAGAATCGATTGTGAAAGTGTTGACTCAACCCCTCCCATTTTTCATGTTCTTGGGGTGTTTTGCTTGTGATTGGTTGTTGCAGCATGGCTCTCGTACAAGTATGCTGTAGTTCCATATTGTCAATTTGATGCTTAAAAAAAAAGTCCATGACCCATAATGTTGCATTTATAATAAACTCAGTTGACACATAAGCTAGCAAAGACATTTCCCAACCCTAAAGTTGTTCTTAATAAAGGTTTAGGACGGATTAGTTAGTAAATGATTAACTAACCCTAAATAAGACATTAGTTACAACCTGTGAATAGTCAGAAAGTTGCACTGGGACATATCTTGTTTTGCAAATAAAAAATGGTGCAGACCACTTGGGCGTGCACCAGCGCCTCTGCTCTATTTTCATGCACCGGCTGTGACTCGATTAGAGGATTCAGACAGGGCTCTGGCTAGCACTTTAATTGACTCACAGTTGTTGTGTAGACAGCCTCGGGATCGTCGTCGATCACCCTTGACAGGCCGAAGTCAGACACTTTACATACGAGATTGCTGTTGACAAGGATGTTTCGCGCAGCCAGATCTCGGTGGACGTATCCCATGTCGGAGAGGTATCTCATTCCCGCCGCTATGCCCCGCAGCATCCCCACCAACTGGATGACTGTGAACTGACCATCGTGTTTCTGCGCGGGGCACACAGAGAGAGAGAGAAAAAAAAACAGGCGGGTCAGCCGTCTCCGCTGACCATGTGGGAAATGTAGGTCACAGCACTGCAGCAGCTCCAGCACAAGATTTATGATATTTATGCGACGCACAGATCCGACTGCAGACCGCCTGCTCTCTGGGACGCTCTCTGGCAGATGCAAAAAAAGGAAAGTTACAGAAGATGCTCCGGCACTTTCCAAGGTGACACTCACCCTGAGGAAACCGTCTAATGAGCCGTTCTCCATGTACTCGAGGACAATCATCACGGGCTTCCCTAGTGAACAGAAGAGACGGAAAATGGAGAGGGTGATCAATTCGGAGCAGAATTTGTTTTACTCACAAAATGCTTCACAAACAACTATGCCGGATCTGCTTTGGAGTTATTTTTAGCCGCGTGTATTGGCTTTTAATTAAAAGTTACCATCTGCTCCTTTTATTACAGTGTCTAAATGAGAAAATGTTAAACAAGGACTGTGGCAAATTTAATCAGATATAATATCACTCTAACTACGACGCTTTTACCTCCCAAAGCTAAATATGCTTTGATGAAACTGATCTTGCAGGATGTTTAAGGGGTGACACCCCAAGTGAATAGGGAAATAATTATAATTAATATATACCACCATGAAAGTTCCCCAGTTCATCACTAACATTATACCAATTCTGTTTTTCTGAAATTGCATGCTTAAATATGCAGATGATGCATTATCTTATGTGCTGATTTGTATACATTTCCAGAACATTGGATAAAAGGTTCCAAATTGTTGTTTCATTTTGTGACATATTAGCTTCAAAGCTTTTTACAGAAGGGATTTTGGATATCTCTTATGACTCCATAAATCAGAAAATACTGTCGACAGCAAAACAAATTTTTGCCGTGTTTTTAGGTATACAATGTTCTATAAATCAGGCTATGAATGAAAAACACCCTCAGTAGAAACCTTCAGAATAGAGATAGGAATGAAAATGTAAGGCTTGGTGAAGTGCAACTGAAGTAGAGATTGCTGTTGAATTGGATAAATAAATTGAAAAAAGAATTGGGTTTATGTTTAAATATGCAAATGAGGCATGATCTAATGGTAAGATTTGGTGAATTTAGGAGAAACTAACAAACGCAAATAGATAAAGTAGTAAAATAAACACCTGAATGTGTACTTTGGATGTTTTCTTTCCACTACTCTGAAATTGGACATGTTATGGAGGCAAAAAAGCCTCAAAATGTACCAGTGCATGAAAAACAATGTTTTTGCCCCGTGGTGTCTCGCCTTAAAACCGACTCCTCTGAGCTCACGCTTCACATATTAATTTCCCTTTCGAGTGTGATTACCTCTCGTCACGACTCCCTCCAGGTGAACCACGTTGGGATGGTCGAACTGGCCCATGATGCTGGCCTCGCACAGGAATTCCCGCCTCTGCTTCTCCGTGTAGCCCACTTTCAGCGTCTTGATGGCGACCGACACCTCCCGCTTCCCGGGCAGCTTGAGCCGGCCACTGCACACCTCCCCGAACTCTCCTGTGTTGGGACGAAGCCGTTCGTGAGTGAGGTGTGGGTGGGGTTTAAAATGTTTTTAAAAAGCACTTCGTAATGACAAATTTATTAGTGTATTTTGAGACAAAGCAGCTGTGCAGCGGTGGAATACGACATCTTGTTCTACTCGGGGGAGTGTAAGCAAGACCTATAATAAGACACGCTAGTGTAGCATAGATACTGTCATTGACCACCTCTGTAAAAATCCATGTGGCAGCAATTTCTCAGCTGTGGAAAAGATCTCGGTGACTGCCTCCACCAGATGCAGCCCACACGTTAATTGCAATGAACCCCCCCCCCGCCTCTCTTTGCAATGGCACTATCAATATACAATGCACAAAGCTGTGCCAAGGTGTAAATATCTGGCTGTCAGTGTGATATATGAGAGCACGGAGTGACTAAACAGCAAGGGGCTGAGAGAAATTGGGATGGTGCTCACCTGCGCCGATAACCCGCTCAATTTTAATGCAGGAGGCGTCCAGCTCCTTGGCAAACTGATGGACGGCCCTGTTGGGGTCCTCGTAGGTCTCGGGGTCAATGTAGGTCTTGGTGCCTGGAAATTTAACTGTAGAAAGGTAAGAGGATTACTGTTATGAATAAATATGCACGCTACGCAGCGGCGGGCACTTGACAGGCAAAACGGTTACCAAGACCAGTGATTCAGAGGGAATTGCTAAGCAGTCAGCGAGCGGTGTGGAAAAAAAAAAAAAAAGAGTTTCCACAAGAAAAAATCTATCACAAATATGGGAAGCAAAGATTTAAGTAACCCGTAAACCTGAAAGTACCTCACTGAAGAATAATCTGTCTCACCGGCTATGTCAGTTCATCATGCTTGGTCATTTATTGACACATGATATCGTTGTATGGATGAGTCGGGTTGTTTCCCAAGTAGACATTTTCCTCTGGAACCAAAGAGAGGCTCTACTAATTTGAATTTTACAAACAGCTGAAAACTCTATTGCTTAACCAAATTTAAGATGTTGAAGGGGACATATCATAAACAACTCATTTTTTTCAGTGCTCATTAGAATACACCACCCACGACTTGAGAACCATCTTCGCAGAGGCGCACCATATTTTTCAACGCAAGCCAAAGGGGAGGGAGGCTTAAAGAGACAGGTGCTAAAACGAAGCGTTTCTGACATGGGTGAATACTGGCTTACTCAGATGGACAGCGTGAGAGTTGTTTTTATTATTAAAGCATACAAACATGTATGAATCTAATAATAAGCAAGACATGTCTCCTTTAATGTTACAATCTTAATTCCATTTTACAGCTTTCACTTTGAAAACCATCCATTTGTATTTATGTGGTTTAAATATCCCTCTTTTGGATTACCAGGAGGTCATTTCAAGTTACGCAAGTCCTTGACTTTATGTTGTAGGAATCCAGATTCAAGCGTCCGCCGTTTCCAGTTGCTCAACTTGTCTTTCTTGGGTCATACGATGAGCCTGACAGAACAGAAGTTTGATCGGGTGTGTTCAGGCTCGATCGTCGTTTGGCCATTCATATGGTAGAAGATTGCATCGCTCCAGTATTCTTTTGTCCAGTAACACCGGTATGAGAAGAGTTCATGAAGAGCCACGAAGTGATAGTGGAAGCAGTTTGTAACCAATAAGGAAAACAAACAAGGTTAGAGTGAGGTTGGGGGGGGGGGGGAGTTCCTGTTTTCACAAATTAACAGCAAATTACAGTATTGTGCACTATTAAGCAAACACATCCACTCACGGGGGGGGCGATTCCACTGTGCATTTTAAATTCCGCTGATAACAATACGACCTGTCAACTTTCAAATTTAATGAGCTCCGGCCGTAATGCACTGGATAAACGCTGGACCAAAACAACAGAGCAGAACTGCCAGCTCATCCAGATGGAGGGACTCTTAACTCTCTTTACGGAGAGAGAGAGGCGATGCGGCCGATCCCAACGCCCGCAAATACAACAAATGCATTGTTTCTCCGGCGAGGGGGGACTCCGGCAGGCCCAGATTTCTCTCCACTTGCTCCTGTAATTGCTTCGTCCATCCGAGATGTCAGCGGATCTGATAGGAGATGTCTTATCGTGGCCGTCCTCGCCGCTATACACGGCAGACAAATTGGGTCCACATGTTGGATTGGCAGTATCTGGCTTCTGTCGCCCTGGCAGCCTCTCGCCGTTTGATATTGCGCGGCGGATCACTCCATTAGGGCCAGACGCCGGCGCTTGAGTTGTCTCCCAGTTTGTTTTTCTTTCTCTTCCTCTATACTGCTGCCGGGGATGGATCTGTCAGATACTTAGCGTCGGCCAACCCGGACTCGCCGGCGCTGCCTCTGCTTTAGCCGTACCCGTTGTGACACCCCCCTGACCCTTTTTGTTTCCAAATCAGCAGTTTGCCTACAGCGTGGATCATTACGGCTCCACTTTGGGGAAGCAGTCTGCAGCTGCATCTCCAGGGGCATCATTAGGGGTGGTGTTAAAAGAACCTGAAAAACAAAACACTCTTACTGATAGAAGGGGCCTAGAAGGAGGCCCTTCGACAGAACAAACTGTGTGTGCACCAGAAGCTCCGGTAACTCGCCAGGGGTGAAAGTAGATGGAAGTTCCTGACCGACCTTTATCACTTCATATTGTGATGCTCCCATCCCCAGCTTCATGCATCCTTTAACGCACACATTATACTTTTTGACGCCTGCATGGTGCAGAAAAAATGACTTGACATTATTGAAAGCAAACTAATAATTTAAATGGCAAAAGTGCCACGGAATCAATTGTGAATGGTGGCAAAACTTTCAAATTTATAACAATTTGTTCCGTTTTTAATTACAGCTAAATTCATCCGCAACCTGACCTGGAATAAAACTTGTAAAACATCACTGCTTATTTCGTCTGTCCGTTCACTTGGGAGTATTTTTTTTGCAAGAAACGGCTGGCTGGCAGAAGCCCACAGCACTGGATATCAGACAGCCGCAGCAGAAGCTGGCGTTTGCTAGCAGGAGGCTAACTAAACAATATTGGAAAAGCAGCAAGAGTGGATTAACAACCCCGCAGGTCTGTGGGCACAAAAACCCACCGACACTGGAATGATTCAGAAGAAAACTAAAGTAACACACGGATGAGCGTGGTGGACGACGGTGCATTCACGTCGCTCCTCGGATGGTCCCGTTTCCCAGAGTTGGGAAGTCGCTCTTCCGACGCCGACGTGTTCATGAGCTTCCAGTCATAACGTGGAAACAACATGGACGCTACGAAGAAGATGCGTTGTGTTCTATTGCTTTAACAACATGTTTTTGCTGTTCACGTCATGTCATTTTTCCAAATATCCCGACACCACACTTTCCCGGTACTGCCGGACCACACCGGCCTCCTCTCACCCTTGTCGCTCACTAAAACCACCTGAGTTATGCCTCCCTTTTTTTTTTTTGAGAGAATACAACCTCAACCTCTCCTCCCTCCCTGACATCTGTTCCCATTCGCGCGTTTGTAGTTCCCCAACACCTTCATCTCCACAGACTGCGTCCAGCCAATCAGCGGCAGATGTTCGCCTGATTGTTCCCCGGCTTTGACTCGAATCAAATGAACTGAGATCAAACGCTCATGCCTCTGGGTGCTAATGTGTTTTTTTTTTTTTTGTTTTTTTTTATAGCACCCCTTCCTGTTCAGCATGCAGTGATTGAGATGTCCCTGTCTAAATGTACGTGTGTGTGTATGTGTGTATAGGTGAACTTGGACACTCACACTGGAAGTAGAGCTCCTCGTCTCCCTCCTGATCTGCTTTGCTGTACCCGCAGTGCCTGCACACGGGGGGAGGGGGGGGAGATAGGGGGGGGGGGGGGGGGAGAGAGGGGGGGAAGAGGGCGGCAGAATCAACTGATTGTGCAGAGGAAACGAACGCCCCAAATTACAAGTATTTTAATGCGGCAGCTAACGCCGCGCATGACAAATCCTCCGAGGAAAGCCAGCTGAGGAAGCGGGAGCTGTGAACCCCCGGCAGCCTACATAGCCTGGCTCCACATATCTAATCACGTCACATATCACACAATGCATGCGCTGTAGAGGACGGTTCAACACATCTCGGAATATTGTTCTTTTTTTTTTTTGCAATATTAACGTGTTGAAGGTTCCCTCCAGCGAGCGTTTTGCTGCACAAAGTTGGTCTTTGAGCACAAACTGAGAAAAAAAAAAAAAATGATGGATGACGTGTGAAAGGTGGAATAAGCCACGAGTGATGGACATGCACTTACTGTTGATGAAGTGACTCGTGCGCAGCCTTGTCTCCGCCGTTCAGAACTCTAACATCTCACTACCTTTGCAGCTATTTTGAACTATTTTGGGATCAACGAAGAGCCAGTAAGTGGACCTTGAGTGAAGATCTTAGTGGCAAATCACTGTTTTGAGGATCAAGAATAAAATCTCTATCATAGTAATTATCTTCAGAATAAATTAAGCTAAGCTATCAATTGACACATGCTGGATAGAACACTGTAGATTTATCAAAAAATAAAGAAGAGTTGAAATTTGTGGCCACAGTTTTTTTTTTTTTTTACCAGATCGGGATTATTTGTATATAACTAGATAGAGAGTGCCACTGTTTCAGAAATATAAGAACAGTCCTGACCATGTGGCATTCTATGTCTAATGGATTTTGAAACAAAACAAACAAGCCAATTTTCACAGATGTTATAATATTCTGTCACTCATATGGTTTTCTTCTCGCAGAGTTGCAGAGTGGGAGTCGTCCACTGCTCCCAAAGTAACTATATATATTATATTATATATATATATACACATATTACAGTATATATACACATATATGTATATATACATATGCAAATATACAGTACATGTATATATATTTTTTTAAATATACAAATGAAAAAACTAAATGAAAACCGAATTGATTGGCATTGTGTTTTGCATGGTCTACATTAGCTGATTTTGGCAATTGTGCATCATTTCCTTGATACACTTTCAAGTGAGACGTATGGATCTTTATCTTCTACTGATGTCAGAGATCCTGCCATCATTGGAGAGTGAATGTACTGGGGGCGGGGCACAGGGAAGGCTAATTCTGACGAACCCGAGCATTAAAATAGCACATTCGTGCAGTTGAAAACACTGATGAAGTGCGTGATGGAATGATGCTAATGACAATGGGCTGGGGGCTTTGTGAGAAAAACAAACAAACGCCAACACAGAAAAATCTGTGCCATGTTCCATCCTGGATATCTCACACACACACACACACAGACACACAAACACACACACACAGGAATGCAGAGCCAAAGCTTCCTCTCGCCCTGGAGTACTTGTCTCATAATGGCTCTGCAAAGAAATTGCTTAAAAATGTCGTCAGGGCTGGAAAGAGAGAGAGGGGGGTGCTGAGGATGAAAAAAATAAATAAAAGATGCATCACAACCCATTAGCACAGCATGCCACGAGATGATGGGTGCGCACATGTGTGCGGGCGTGCCTGCGTGCTGGTGTGTGTGTGTGCGTGTGAGAAGACAACCGTGGGAGGGCGCGGAGGCCCGTGAGTGACAAGAGAGGGCTAATTTGACAAGCGCAGACTCACAGGAGCGGAGAGTCAATGGGGCCCGCGAGAGCGTACCTTCTCCCGATGATGAAGCCGAACACCATGAACACCAGGATGATGGTCCCCGCCACGGCCACCACCGCTATGATGATGACGGGGTTCTGCTCGCTGGAGACGATCGCCGCTGACAAGACGGACACACACACACACACAGACACGGACAAGACATGCAAAGAAAAAGACTCAGTGAGAACTTTGGCACATCAAACAACTACAATCGGCAGGACGTAACTGAGCCCGACGGGAGGCGTGGGGATTGATGAGCCCTCCCCTCCCCTCTGAGGGAGCCGAGGAGGAGGAGGGGTGGGAAGGGGGGGGGGGGACTGCTTCTATTTTTGAGCCGTCCTCATACACTCGGCTCCACTGTTTCAGAAAGTGGGCTTAATAGTCCCAGACGGCGATGGCGATGCCCTTCATCTCAAACAAAGACACATTCAGGTTGGATTGTTTCCACGTTCGGAGCTCCCACAGTGCTCGGGCTGTTTTGCGGCGACAAAACCGCCGATCGCATCCGAAGAGAGGCAATGCATGAAGTCAACGCGAGTTGTGTTTGTGTGAGGGATGGGGGGGGATTCATGCATTTTATATCAAGAGGCTGTGCACTGTATAAATACTAAATACTTGCTAACATTTTTTTGTTTGTTGATGTGGCCTGTCTGAGGAGGAAGGGCGGGGGCAACATTCGATCAGTTGTTCCGAGCATTGATAGCGCACCAATTGTCCGTTTTGGTGGGGTGGGGTGGGGTAG